AAGTATAGTTACATTGTATAGCTTTAGTTCAAATTGTACATGTATGTCATGGCTATATCAATTTGCCTCATTATAATGAGCGATTTAATTCTTGTTCTAACGTTTTCACACACATGTACATAGGATGGCTGGCTATTGAAGTTACAATAAAAATAGACAGCACATTTGCCGTAGATGTATACTCATGTACATCAGTAGGTACTTATAAAAGAAACTGAATACCTAACATTCATTGAAAGTTACACAACAAAACAAACACATGGACCTTTTCTTTTTCAGTCAATGCACTTAAGAAACAAATAATATCATTACCTACAAGTCGTGTACAAACTATCAAAACTATTTCACCAATTATAAACAAATAACTTTTTATACTGAATTAATAATCACGATACAAGCCATGGTTTAGTCACAGAGGTGACTTTTGCACTGACTCTAAAATATTGGTAACAAAAAGAAATATATTTAAAGTCACAATCAGAATGAGCAATGAATCGATCTTCCCCCCACTCTTGCGAAACCAATTTTGTGACCCTTTCCTTGCAATCCTCAGGAGTTGATTGGTCATACTTGATAACAAGCTTCTTGTGATTTTTATCTTCATCTTGGTTTAGCAGCTCTACTGTGACTTCTCCTTAAATGGCCACCCCAGCTCATCATCATACTCCCCAGGAACAAGAACAGTATAACAAGACAAGTGGGTGCCTTTTCCTCTGCCATGACCATTAGCATATACACAAAGCATCATCTTATACCCACCTGGTGAGGTATAAAATGATGGACTATGCCACACCTGATCATAACATCTATGGGTGTATGCATCATTCATTTTGAAGACATGGGAACTTGAACTCGTGCATTTCATACCAGCAGATTTCGTCTGCAGAGTATCAACTCGTTTGATGGCCATTTGTAAGTGCTCTTTCATGAATTCTTCATTATGCTTTTCTTGCTCTTCCCTTTTTATTAATTTATCGCACCCTAAATTACTGTACTCACAGTAAACAATAGCTTTAGGACAATTTTGTTCATGACGTTTAAACCAAAGGCGTTCTTGAATAAATTCACAACCTTCATTGCAGCATTTGATTGGGTAGGAATAACACCTGTCAAGATGAGCACTGCTTGTTATAATGTTATGAGGACCTTCTTTCTTACAATATTGACAACCAACTATCCGCTTTGGACAATCTTGAAGGTGAGTTTCCATTTCCCTACAACAAATCTTTTCCCCACATCCCAGAGAGCAGTCGACCATTCGATAAGGACAGCCCATGACATGTGCTTGAATATCACCAAGAGTTCCTTTCCAGTCACACTCCTCAATGATGCATTGAACTTTAAGGGCTTTTATCTCACGCTCCATCCTTCCATCTTTAAAATAGCTCTTGGAATCCAATAGTTTATGACAAGCAGGACAGCTGAATGTTCCATTCCTTGAGGATTTCTTCCTGTGCTTATCCAGACAACTCTTACAGTAGATGTTATAGCAGCAGGAGACTTGATGAGGATCACGTGACACTAAAGTACATATGAGACAGATGTAGTTCCTTGGTGGGTCACCATCAACAAAAGTATAGTCATATTCTCCATAAGAGCTATCCGGATCTTTAAAACTCTTCAGAAACGAGCTCCCAAGACGGTCATTAGCAGCGGCTCTTAAGTTTATTCAATAATTATTATTACTTAATAACCAGTACTCTTTGAATGAAAATGAGGATGCATAATATTAGTATTTAAATGCAAGAATGCTTTCACCTTGTTGACACAGCTGCATTGCTGCAGATTATTTTACTCACTCATAAGTCTTTCACATGTTTAGACTAAAAAAATTAAGTGTCCCAAATATACACTGTGGTCGTAAAACTCAGAAGGATAGCAAAAACTGAAAGATATGCACCAAAAAATAAATTTACCTTCACTAAGTCAACACATTCACCTGCAAAAGGTATCACAAGTCTGTCCATTATAAAAGAAGAGTAACCTCATCTCTTTCTCATCAGCAGAAGGCAACGCATTATTATATAGTATCAATCATGGTTACTTCTCAATGGCTATGTGTCATAATAGCTATTGCTATGATTAACATTGCAGCTGGAAACTGTCCTGATGATATGCCATCACCATCTCCTACCCTTAATCCATTTCCTTCTGCTGCCCCATCTCCAACTCCACTGGTTGTACCTACTGAATTCCTTTCCTCTCCAAACACAACAGTCAATGCTCCACCAGGTAAAATAATGAAATAATCCCAACTCCTTTAAAATTCTTATTTTATAGTTTGTGTGATGCCACCAGACTGCAGAGCATGGCAAGAGTTAGGGATCAATCAGAGTGGAGTCTATCCAGTAAAACCAAATGGAGGAGAAGCTTTTCAAGTAATGGCTCCTGTACAACTTTGCATTAATTTATTTCTGTACAGGTATACTGCGATATGGAGACTGATGGTGGTGGGTGGACTGTATTTCAGAGGAGACAAGATGGATCTGTTGCTTTCAATAGGAACTGGGCTGACTATGAGAAAGGTTTCGGTAACCTCACTGGGGAATTCTGGCTAGGACTGAGCAAAATACACCGCCTCACTCAAGGAGAGACAAATACTTTACGAGTAGACATTGGAGATTTTGACGGTCGCATAGGTTATGCTAAGTACTCAATGTTCAATATTGGAAACATTACAAGTCAATATACATTATTTATAGGAGGTTATTCAGGGACTATTGGGGATGATCTGGCTCCTTATAATGGTCACAGGTTTGCCACTTATGACAACGATTATCGCAACTGCATTGGTAAATATGATAACAATGGATGGTGGTATCAAGACAGTCATTGCTTTTCAACAATTCTCAATGGTAACTATGGTGATAGTGTCTGGAGAGGAATTTATTGGCATAGTTGGCATGGTTATAGGAACCTAAAGTATGTTGATATGAAAACTCGTCGGCAAATTTAAAACAGAACAATTTCAGGGACCAAGTGTGATGTCATTTCTATTAGCTTAGGCCATTTTTATTAGTTTTAGACCATTTCTTTATAGTTGCAATAACTTGACATATTTTATAGTTTAGTAAAAAATTTTATAAAATTGAGAAGTAAACACATGGATGTGGTTAAGTAAATTTAGAAGGTATTAATGACATAAAAGTAACAAAAACATACCTCTTGAAATAAAAAACACAGCGAGCATAATACATGTACATGTAGCTTACTACCATGGCATAAAGCACTAAAATTGCATTTTAAGGACAAGCTTAATAAAAACATTTAACAGCTCCTAATAGAGTAAGTGAGGTAATCTACTGTAGTACTGCACACTACTGGTAATATTATACAAACTGTTTACTATTGTAAGCATTACATAATACATATACACATGTACATGCACACAATGAGAGGGAAAGTATGTACAGGTGTAGCACTTAAAAAAGAGAGAAAAAGAGAGAAAAAGAGACAAGCAAGTCCAGCACTATAGCAGGTGGAGTGACAGTGTATGCAGGTAGATGTACTATGATGTACCTTATTATTGTGAACACAAAATTAGTTAAATTATAAACCACAACATAGAAACAGCTGCAGTGGATGATAAATAAGAACACCTGATGAGTAGAAAGAGTATTCTAAAAACAAAAAGTCCAATATTTATAATATAATAGCCAGTAATTGATACAATTATGACTGGCACCAGGTCATTAAACTAGCTTAAGATCTTTATTAAAACACTGCCGAAGGGTTTGATAGACACAATTTAACATCCACCATTGCCAAGCAAGCCTTGTGGCAATAAGATCCTAATCAAATTGAAAGAAACATCTAGAAGCATGGAGCAATTCACCATTAGAGGAAAAATGGAGTCAAATTACACATTCCACTTGTAGACTGAATCCCAGAAAGCATAACAAGTCCAAATAACAAAATAATTATTGTAATTATTGACAATTAAAAGTTGCCCAATAATAATTACCGAGCTAATTACAGTATTGACATTGTTGCCTTGGATAAGTTTACTTTTAAAAGGAATCAAAAAGGGAACATCATAATAACAAGGTAGAGCAGTAAGTGCAATTATCACAAAACAATCTTAAAATGAATTGTCAAATTTGTAAAAGAGATAAAAAAAAAAACTTTTTAAATAACTAATATCACAATACAAGCTGTGGTTTAGTGTGAGAGGTGACCTTCGTCATGTTATTGAAAATCA